TACTATTCTAAAAATGGCATCTAACATCATACAAATCAACAGATTTTTATGCCACATGTTCGTTTAGTCCTATATATATATATATATATATATATATATATATATATATATATATATCTTTCTGTGCACAGAGCTTGTAACTTTACCAAGACTGGGCCAAATTTCTAATTCTTTTGATGATTCCAGAACATTGCAGTACACACCAATATTTATATGCTAGATGATCAACTTTTTCTGATCGATTCCACACCGTTTCTTTCACAATTCAATCGCATGACCAGAACTCAACTTCACCTTTAAGCACTTGACTGGAAATGCAAAATAACCATCCGATCATTGGATCAGGATTCAGGTCATAGACCTACATTTGTGAATATCCCTATGCATGTTTCTTTCTGGGAATTCTATCCTAGTTATAACAAAACCAGAAAACAGTAATATCTGACTTCAGATAATCGACATTGCTCATGTTACACCAATTATAAGTGGAAGAATGCTATTCCCTCTGTAAAATTTCAGTATGTTGATTATTTAAAGATTTTGATATAGTCTTCAATATTTCTTGGTAGAAAACAAATAGTTCAGGTTATAAATAAAAGAAAGTTCATGATTGTTTTGACAAATATTTATATGAATCGTACAAGTTGCTAGTAAGGCATGACTTTACGGATATAGATATAAGCGACCTCTTTTGTTAGAGGAAGGAGCACAACAGATACAGAGAATTTCACTTCTTGTTTTTATATGCACAAAAGAGTAATAATAAAAGTTCGCTTTTATTCAGGGAAACCAGTTTGTTCATTTTGCCCAAAAGATCCAGAGACCTACTTACACTTGCTTTTCAGCGTAGGAAGGTCAAACAGTTATGGCAATTCATTACTGAACACTTTGATTAAATTTGAATTGCATTAAGAGATATGGACTGCCGATCACAAGGTCCGCGGTTCGAGACCCGCCGGGGCACTAATGTCCTTTGGCAAGACATTGATCAACATTTGCCACACTCAACCCAGATGATGTTAATGGGTACCTGGCAGGAATTAATTCTTTGAAATGCCAGAGCGCCGTAATGGCAGCATAGCTAAAGCCGGGGTAATAATCTCAAAGTTTGGAAGCACTTTTAATAGTGATTGTAATAAGCGCTATATGAAAACTGATTATTATTATTATTATTAGATACATTTTTAGAATTGAGTGTTTGAATGCTATCATAACTCAAGGACAGAAGGTCATTTACTTTCCAGTATAATATATAGAAAACTATTACGGACTTTATAGAGGAGGAAAATAACAATCAAGGGAGATTTTCGTTGCATTTACAAAAATGGGAAGAATTAGAAGTGATCAACGTGAGCAGACCACCTTGCTCTGTGTGTATTGTTTGTGGTTGGAGGGTGGGGGGGGGGGGGGGGTGTTGAGGTGCGGGGGCGTTCTTGCGTGTGAGTGACGTTATTGTGGTGTTGCACAACTATGTGAGTATGCATGATTGTGTACGTCTTGGGTGAGTTGCAGATAGTAGGGGATTTTGTTTGGTTGGGTAGTAATGGAGGGGGTTATAATTTGTGTTATATTATAACTGATTTCGTTCAATCTTTCTTTTACGATTGTTATTCATGCATTTTACATTGTATTGAATATATTGAATTATGTTATTTTGATGAAAAAGATTGTATTCCGAAGAACTATTCATATTTTGATTTTAATTTTATGTTCTTCTGCATTCATGTAAGTATACAGTTTTTCGATAACAATAATAATATGAACTACAATAAGTATTTTTCTGATAATGAATCATAAATAAGCAAATACATGAATGTATCAATTGTTATTTTCAAAAACGAAATTATAAACTGTCACAAATACTGAATTTCCTCAAACATAATATATTGTTTTGATATTGAATGAAATAAAAAAAAATTACGGGGAAAATGTTTTACGGTGAGTGTATGTGAGTGTGTGTGTTTGTGTTCGAGTGGGTTATATGGGAGCATCTTTTTGAATGACAATCTGAATCAATTTTCTCCTCTGTGTTCAGGTTGGAACAGTGATGGTCATAGCGAAGTTTACAGCAGCGTTGATCTTGTACCATGTATCTTCACGGGCGAGATATATTCTCATGGTGATTCGTGGATCATTGATCGAGATACAAAGTGCCATTGCAATGACAGTGACGTCATCTGTGACGTCATGACATGCCCGTATCTGGACTGCGACAACCCAGTCGCCATCCCGAAAGAGCCTTGTCCATTGTGCTTCCATAGTGAGTATCAAATGTAAAAAATGTAACAATATGATTGAAAATGATGTTGGTATAAATAATTCAAAATGTGATTTAAAAAAATAATTGTATTTATCATAATTTGTTTAGATGGTGATTATGAAAATGGTAATAATATATAGTCACATCAACAACTACGACAAAAAGATGAACAATAACAACACCCAAAATGGTTATTATGAAAATATTCTTATAATAATAATGATAATAATAATAATGATAATAATAATAATGATAATAATAATAATGATAATAATACTAGTTATAATAAATGTAATAACAATAATATTGATAATAATCATAATCATAATAATTTTAACAACAATAACACCAAAAAGAATATATTAACGATGTCATATGGGTTTGTTTATCAAGGGTAGCTTCATTTGCATTATTAATTTCATTCATGAGGACCCGGCAGTCACGTCATGGTACAATTATTATTGCATACTCCGTAGTTTAAATTCACAAAATACGTGTATAATGTACAGACACGTTTAAAACATATAAAGTGCTGTTGTATTTCCAAGTTACTCCAAATTACAAATCTATGTAGACATTGTAAAGTTTATGTACAAATGATAAGTGAAAACTTTCAATAATAATTATATTCCGCTTTCATATTTAATTTAGCACATATATTATTCCCCCGATTATCGGGTTCAGGCTTGCCCGCATATGATGTATGCACATTCTTCTCTCCCTGGGGAGCATTCCAGTCAGGTGCCATTTTACAGACGCTCAAAATGCTGAGCAAACTAAATCAACGTTCGCATCCTACCTGGTACCCATTTAACACCTGGGTGTAGAAAGCCAAAGGACATTAGTGCCGTGGCGGGACACAAACCCCGTACCCTGTGATCTGCAGTAGGGTGACTTATCCACTAGACCACATCGCCTCTACCTTTAAACAATTAGGGTTCGCGTGCGAGTATTAATGTATGGTTCATGTTCGATAGTAGATTTGATTAACCTCATGATATTGGCTATCATGTTGTGCTATCTCGTTAGGCTCTTGCTGTCACATACCTTTCTCAGCTAGGTGGTGCTTCTGCCCAGGGAACCATCGGGAGCACTATAACTGCCACAAATAAATAATAGTATTGACTAAGTAGGCCCTGTAGCGTACCACTCGTCCAAACTATTGACGGGGCAATGAAGTGTGCGTGTGTGTGTGGGAATTCCAGTTGATACCATTTGAAACCAGTAAGTAATTCCAACTGGTATCTACTGGTTTGAACTGGTCTCAACTGGTCTCAACTGGTAACAGTTGATACCAGTTGATAGAATTTGGAAACCAGTAGACATACCAGTTGACATCTGAGACCAGTTGATATTACAAGTTTATTTACTAGTTGCTTTACCAGTTGAAAACCAGTACATGATTACCAGTTGAAAACCAGTAGATGAGTAGCAGTTAATTTACCAGTTGAAAACCAGTAGAAGATTACCAGTTGATTTCCCAGTTGAAAACCAGTAGATGAGTACCAGTTAATTTACCAGTTGAAAACCAGTAGATGATTACCAGTTGATTTACCAGTTGATTTACAAGTTAAAAACCAGTACGATTATCAGTTGATTTACCAGTTGAAACCCAGTAGATGATCACCAGTTGATTTACCAGTTGAAAACAAATAAAATGATTACCAGTTGATTTCCCAGTTGAAAACCAGTAGATAAATACCAGTTGATTTGCCAGTTGAAAATCAGTAGATGATTAACATTTGATATACAAGTTGAAAACCAGTACGATTACCAGTTGATTTACAAGTTGAAACCAGTACAATCACAAGTTGATTTACCAGTTGAAAACCAGAAGATGATTACCAGTTGATTTACCAGTTGAAAACCAGTACGAAAACCAGTTGATTTACCAGTTGAAAAACCAGTTCAATGTATTTTATGCATATTCATGATAATTTGCATGTTTTCACAGAAAATATAATTATCATGATTTGTCAAGCAAATGTGACAATGCACATAAATTTTGTAATTTATATTTTCTTAGTTAATTATTGACAAATATATTACACATGTCTGATTATGTTTTTCATCTAATTTAAGACATAAAATGAGATATATTGATATATATATATAATTACTAACCAGAAAATAAAGCGTACACATTTGTATAAATCTATGCACGAACTATAAATGTAAACTCACATAATACACATCTGTAATCTACTTCAAATGATCATTGTGATGGGGTAATTGCAAGAGTTAATATATGTGGTCAAGTTGGTGGCCAGATGCTAATAATGATTATTGATTATCAGTTGATTGATTACTGGATAATCAACTGGTAAATCAGCTGGTAAATCAACTGGTAATTCAACTGGTAATTCAACTGGTACATCAACTGGTAAATCTACTGGTCCCAGTTAGCCGTTGTTTCAACTTCCATATTAAAAACCAGTTGAACCTACTGGCTTCAACTGGTACCATTTGACTGCTGGTTTTAACTGGTACCAGATGCATACTGGTTTCAACTGGAATTGCGACCTGTGGGGGGGGGGGGGTGGTGGCACCGCCTCTCAATAAGATAGAAATGTGGATGAAATATGGATGAAATTAGAATTAGCACGGCCAGATCTCTTTTAAGTCTAACTTTCTCTCTCTCCCTCCTTTTACTTTTCTCTCTTCCTCTTTCTATCTCTCTTCCCATACAGACGTCATTGCTCAGGCGCTGCAAGTCGAACTCCGCCGCCTGAATGACGTCATGACTGGTCACGGCCAACCCGTCACATTGACCTTTAACATCGACGTCCTATTTGACGAATTCTCACAGACAACGAGCGTGACCGGTAAACGCCTATGGAAGGTCTCGGCGTGGGCGAGCAGTGACCCTGACGGGGGAGGAGCGCGGCACGGCTACGTCGACCAAGTCCTCACCGCGCGACAGGCGTCACGGTTGCACAAAAAGGATACCGATTTCGTCATCAATGACATCACCTTTGACCTCATCCCGCCATCTTGTGAAGCTGTGCGCCATATTTGCGTCAGATTTGCCCGGGGTGACGCACCTACAACAAAATCGGGATTGGAGCTCATATTTACCGGACCTAGGGATGATAGTCGAGACATCAGGAAGTGTGTGCCAGCGCCAACTTGCAATGGTAAGTTGTATAGAGTGATGAAGTGGATCATAATCAAATGATTGGTTGAGAGCGTACACGTGACCAGGCAGTAATTTTACTAATGACCGGTCAATAGCGAATATTATAATATTGACGGGTCATTAGTAAAATCATGTTATAAAACATAATGTTATAAAACAAATAAAACATCTTATAAAACAAATAAATAAATAAATTTAATTTACACATCATTTTGTTCGGGCATTAGTAAGATTACCCACACTCGGTACCTTTGAAACAGACTCCAAACACCCTCGGCTATCAACCTGGGGTGTTATAGACTGTTCCAAAGGTACCTTGTGTGGGTAATTCTTACTAATGCCCTCACTGATGTGTATTATTGGTATTTTGTTTCATCTAGAACTCATTTCTAATGCCCTTTGCACCCGAGGCGTTCTTTAGATTGCATGATCACCTGCGCTATTGAGCCTTTATGAAGACAGTATTTCACATGCCACTTTTAAAAAAAGCATTGTTTATTCATACACGATCCTGTGTCCACTCTCAAAATGGCGCCTGGATGACGTCACGATCTCTCTTGACGTGTGGAAGTCCGTATCAATCGCTGACGCATACTAGCTCAGACATATACCTATTACGCGTATTTCAGGCATGACGCAGTAATAAAACCGTCATGTTTTTTTTAATATGATGATGTGAAGTGCATATACGCTTCAATCTTCGCTGTCTCATAATAATAATAATAATAATACTCAGTTTTTATATAGCGCTTATTACGATCACTAAGCGCTTCCACACTCGGAGATTATTACCCCAGCTTTAGCTGTGCTGCCATTTCGGCGCTCTAGCATGTTAAAAAGAATTAATTCCTACCAGGGACCCATTTACATCACCTGGGTTGAGTGGGGCTAATGTAGATCAGTTAATATGCACACGGCCAGTCTTGCGCGCAGTTGCCATTCCTTTACACGTTAAACAAAAAGTTTTTCTTCTCCTTTGCGGTATTTGCGGTACTGTTACTGATAAAGCATTATTCTTTAAGCCAAACTGATTCCCATCATCTCATGTCCTGTCGTTGACTCCCTATGCGGCTGCACACGAACAGCCACTTGTGGAATTAGGACTACGTTAGTGACTAACGCGGTCTTCGAGGCGTCATGTGAAAATGTAATACCATCAAAACTAAATAAAAACAAACATTATTATAACAGACTTTATATTCACTGTAGATAATATAGCGCAATCGAACTGATGATGAGTCTACAGCGAGCATAATACCAGCTGCACAACAGGCGTTAATTCGATTGCTTTGTTACCTGCGCTAGTTAATGGTGTAAAGGTGGTCATCACATATAATTTAACACAATGGCAATGTTTGAAGTGTTCACTTCGTATTCACTTTCGTCACGCCAATTTAAGACACATGGAACGTCAAAGATCATGTAATTCCTTTTCCTACATCAGAAGAAAAAATAGAAGAAAGGAGTGAATCCTTTCCTCATTTTTCACGAAATGCCCAGGTGTCCCAGCTCTCTTTGAGGTTAAAGTTCATTATCAAGTCATGTGACCCCTATTGTCATGGGCATCATTTGTAATAAGGTTAAGTAACGATCAAGATCCATGACCTGTAAATGTAGGTTATTGAATTATCTCTCAAAAAGCAAAAGCACTGGCTCTGCTCCAAATCTAACTGTGGCGTGGTACCCCTTGCTGCCCAAGGCCGCATTCAAACATTGCACGGTAACTCACTCAGAAACAAACAAGACAAACAAACAAACTAACTAATGAAGAAACAAACAAATAAATGCAGCCGAGGCTGAACGAGGAGGCGCGATAGCTCAGTCGGTAGAGCAGCGGTCTCGTAATCCGGTGACCCGGGTTCGAAACCAAGGCGATGCGTTAGTGCCCTTTGTTAAGGCATTAATCCTCATTACCAGGTCCCTCGGAGAGGACCTAAAGCCGTCGGCCGTCTGGTTGCTTACTTACAAGCATTTATGCTTGCTTAGCAGTCAGGTAAAATAACCACCACCATTCCATTCCATTCCAAAAGGATGTAAGGGAAAAAGGGGGTGTGGATGTTTAGGTGCCGTCAATTTGAAAATAAAATCAATTTAAATTTCATCTTTACACAGAGCAGCGTGTTCAGCTATCAAGCAATTAAAACAAAATAAAATATAAGCATAGAATACATGAACAATTATTGTAATAGAAACAGATGTTCGAACAAATATCAAAAGCTAGGCTCCATTTCACAAAACCTGTCATCAGTGACAAATTACAGTTGTAATTTTATACAAAAGTACACTTATTTCCCTTTAAGAAAACGAAAGCGTAAGCCCAGTGAGGAGTCTGGAAGGAGTCGTGTCTAGTGGATGCATCAGTGGACTGTGGATTACATGGTTCGCGGTTCAAGTCCCCAAGCGGCACTTATGTCCTTTGGAAAGACATTAACCTACATTTGCCATACTCGACCTAGGTGAGGTAAATGGGTACCTGGCAGGAATTGATTCTTTGAAATGCTAGAGCGCCGTATGGCAGCCATGCTAAAGCCGAGGTGATACTTATTACGGATCTGCAGCGGTGCCAAGTCTGACAGACATGAGTGCTATACAAGAACCCACTATTATTATCGTCATTATATTTATTATGTAGTAGCACCATTCTGTACACACAGTAAACTAAAAGTAAATGGGGAGGGTCGATCCCCCACGTCCATCAACTCCCATGGCTTCAGTAGAACCATCATTACTGTTGACAATTTTGAAAAGTATCACCTCTGGAAAAAAAAAATGATTATTTAAAAAAAAAAAAAAATTGTGATATAAGTATAATTCATGTGTTTTTTATGAACGTAATATTCAATTAATAAATGATGGAGAGAAAAAAAGAAAAGAATCAACATTCCTTTATTTCAAATCTTTCCCAGACGCAGAACCGCTACAACCCAAATCGTACATGGGTCAGACGTGTACATCTGGAGGAAGTGAATACCGAGCCGGTGAAGAATGGAAGAAAACCGCTTGTGAAAATTGTCTTTGTGTTGAAGGGCGTCCGGAGTGTACTACTGAACGATGCTCAGGACCTAACTGCGCTGACCCAATACAAGTCGAAGGAGTGTGTTGCAGTCTCTGCCCTTTTCGTAAGTTCTCATGCTCTGTTCCTCCTGTTCCGTTCTGTTCCGTTCTGCTCCGTTCTGCTCTATTCTGTTCTGTTCTTTTTCTGTTCTGTTCCCAACCTTTATAATCTCGTTGCTTTCTTTCCCTCGTATTTTGCTCCTCAACTATATTTTGATGATGGGGGGGGGGGGGGGAGATCAACAAAACGACTTTCTCTTTTCTCCCGAAGCAAAAAATCTTGTATGTAAAGTCGCTGAGAAGCAAACAAAGAAAGATAGAGGCAGAGGGAACGAAAATACTGTTTCTCAAGTTTCGTTGGTTGGGGGAGGGGGGAGTGGAAATTCTACGCGTTTTGTGACTAATTATGTCGGGTTTCGACTGTGTGAACACGAATGCCAATGTATTATAATACATTTTCTCAATTCATCCTCTCATGTAAACACGCCTGCAGTGTTGATCGGATCAGGACTCTCATACACCACGAGAGGGCCGTACGACTACAAAACGGGGCAGATCAGATATCTCGACGTCAATCTCACCCCCAGATTCAGAGAAACCTCAGAAACCACCGGGGTGAAAGGTCAACAACTATGGAAGCTGAGTGCGTGGGCGAGCACGAATGATAAAGGGACTGGATCACGGATGATGTACGTCGATCAGATTCTCGACGACAGGCAACAATCGCAGACCTACACCAAAGGAAAGAAGTTCAAGATAAAAAGTGAGTCCCATTTTTATTTGACGCTATTTTTATCCACATCTTATCAAAGATCTATATTTTTGGTCTGCTTTACTGTGTTCTTTTACCCTTTTACATTGAAAGCGCTTATAGTATTTCTTTTTGTACATCACACTATTTACATTTTGATGAAAAAAGGTACAGTTGTTAACTTTTTGTTTATCTCAGAACGGTCTCTGTTCTTTGTGTCACATCCCGACCTCTCATCATGCTTATGGTCAAATATTATTATAATGATGCTGGGATTAAATGGACCAAAACAAACAAACAAATACACAAAAACAAATCTAACAAGCAAACAAACAATCAAACCAAAAAAGAAAAGAAAAGAGAATAGGATGTTGCTGATCCTAACTCCCTTATAAAGATAAATGATCCATAACCCACGCCGGACACAATTCAACTCCAGTCATCTATAAACCAGTATACTGTACGATAATCATTACAGGACCCTGTTTCATAAAACTTGTCATCAATAACAAGTTGAAATCGTGGCATCTGATTGGCTGAAAGCTAATTTGTTATATAATTTTAGCATTTGTTATTGATGATAAGTTTTATAAAACAGGGCCCATATGTTCTTTGACCACGTTGACGAGTGTAGGCCCGAATCCAAGGGATAATTCGGCAAAGCTCGGCATGTGTCGAAGAAACCCGAATACCGTTCGGAATATTATGTAGTAAAACAATTTGTCTACGGGTCGGAAATATTTAAAGCTGCCACAGTTCATCATGAATTAAATGATCGAAAATTTGAGCCCGTTTTCATGAATCTTATTGGAGTTCTCTTTATTAGCCCTATATGTCACCAGGGCGTAGTGGAATTTTCTCCCGGTTCATCTCTTTGAACATGTATAACCTGATTCAAATTTGTAAATTGTAATGTTTAATCGACTTTTTATCGTGTTTCCCTTTTAGAAGCAAGGTATGATCTAAAGAATTACGAATGTGAGCTGGTGCGGTATTTCTGTTTCGCATTTGGTATTGGAGATGATCCACAACCTGAACATGGCGTCGGGTTTGAACTTAGGGGAATAAATCACGATGTGATCCAATGCATTGAGGCTGGAGATTGCCTACGTGAGTATGGTGTTCTACAAGTGGTATTCTGAAGGGCGGCACTGGAGTATTATGCTAGTGGTGCACATATATGAAAAAGGGTCATGCTTTTTCATATATGCAGAACATGTATCTTTTAAAGAGAAGGTTGAGTTATGGTGAGAGGTGACACATAATTTGTGAGCATTATAATTGTTATTATGCAACTGGAAAGAACATCAGAGAGGAAAAAGTTCCCTGCTAAGCATGGCTCTTCAAATGCATTTATATTCTAAATATGACATGTAACAGCTTAAAATGAGGCCCGATTTTAGTGACGAAATATAGGGGTGTTAAAACATAGGGATGACAATAATAAAGGGGTATTAAAACAAAGCGAGTGACGAAATATAGGGTGTCAGAACATAGGGATGACAATAATAAAGGGGTTTTGGAACAAAGCGGGTGACGAAATATAGGGTGTCAGAACATGGGGATGACAATGATACAGGGGTGTTTAAACAAATCGGGTGACGAAATAAGGGGTGTCGGAAGAAATCGCGTGACGAAATATAGGGTGTCAGAACATAGGGATGACAATGATACAGGGGTGTTTAAACAAATCGGGTGACGAAATAAGGGGTGTCGGAAGAAATCGGGTGACGAAATATCGGGGTGTCGGAAGAAATCTGGAGATTAACTAACGGGGTGTCGGAACAAATCGGGTGACGAAATATCGGGGTGTCGGAACAAATCGGGAGATGGACTAACGGGGTGTCGGAACAAATCGGGTGAAGAAATAAATGGGTGTCGGAACAAATCGGGAGATGAACTAACGGGGTGTCGGAACAAATCGGGTGAAGAAATAAATGGGTGTCGGAACAAATCGGGTGATGAAATAAAGAGGTGTCGGAACAAATCGGGTGAAGAAATAAATGGGTGTCGGAACAAATCGGGTGATGAAATAAAGAGGTGTCGGAACAAATCGGGTGACGAAATAACTGGGTGTCGGAACAAATCGGGTGACGCAATAACGGGGTGTCGGAACAAATAGGGTGACGCAATAACGGGGTGTCCGAACAAATCGGGTGAAGAAATAATGGGTGTCCGAACAAATCAGGTGACAAAATAACGGGGTGTCGGATCAAATCGTGTAAAGAAATAAAGGGTGTCGGAATAAATCGAGTGACGAAATATCGGGGTGTCGGAACAAATCGGGTGAAGAAATAAAGGGTGTAGGTACAAATCGGGTGACGAAATATCAGGGTGTCGAAACAAATAGGGTGAAAAAATAAAGGGTGTCGGTACAAATCGGGTGACGAAATAACGGGGTATCGGAACAAATCGGGTGACGAAATAACGGGGTGTCGGAACAAATCGGGTAAAGAAATAACGGGGTGTCGGAACAAATTGGGTGACGAAATAAAGGGTATCGGAATAAATCGAGTTACGAAATATAGGGGTGTAGGAACAAATCAGGTAAAGAAATATTAGGTTGTTTGAACGTAGGAGTAACGAAATATAGGGGTGTTGCAACATAGGCGGGTCGAAATATTTGGGTGTCAGTAAATAGGGGGTAACGAAATATATGGTGTCGAAATAGAAAGGTGGTGGAATATTAAGTTGTTGGAACGTAGGAGAGACGAAACATAAGGATGTGGGTATATAGTTGTGAAAAATATAGGATTGTCGGAACATAGGGGTTATCAAATATAAAGGTGTAGTAACATACGGGTACCGGATTTTAGGGCTAGGAAAATTAATGTAGAGTAATGAAATGTTGAATGACACATGTTCTCAAGAACACGAAGAAGAGAATGAAAACATCATGTGTATACATCTGAGCGTGCATATGTGAGATGCTGCAATGTGTTTGAGTGATGGTCAATATGTTCTGATTTTTCATATACGTAGCTCACGAAGATCTGGACAGTCACTGGGTAGACCCCGATGCCCCAGTAGAAACAACAACGCAGCCACCCCCAACAACAACGCAACCGCCCACAACAACAACGCTACCACCAACAACAACAACAACAACGCTACCACCAACCACCACAACAGTCAGAACAACCACCATTACCCGGCGTCCCGTTGTCGACTCAAACTTAGTCGAGGGAACAACTGGAGACAACAATGGAGCTTCGTCGGGGAAAGGTAAAGGCAAGGGGAAAGGAAAGGGAAAGGGCAAGGACAAAGACAGAGGCACTATTACCGTTGGTTGTCGCGTTGGAAGTCGGCCAGACCCTTGGGTACCTGTCTACTCTGAAGTTGAACCGCGCCCTCCACGTCCGTGCTTCACACGGGTCACCGAGCATCGCCACGGGCAACGATGGGACGCTGGTCCGTGTACGAGGTGTAAATGTAGTGATGCGTGCATACGATGTCTCATCAAGAGTTGCCCACCGTACTTCTGCTACGAACCAATCAAGATAGAAGGCGAATGCTGCCCCTTCTGTCCCTCAAGTGAGTTGATATCCGCTACCGAAAATTATTTCTAACATTACGTAATTTAGGATGTATCGAGCGATTGTCGCCGAATCATTTATAAATTGACCCACAAAGCTCAAGCATTGCTTTTTTTAAAGAATCCTTCCACTTCACCAACTTGACAATGAACGCTTTTATAGTACATCCTTTTGTACAATTACGTGAAAATATCTTAAGCATCGATGTTTTGTATTTTGCGTCGAACTCCAGTATTTTGTTTGACAGTGACAATTAAACGGTTGACTTGAAACTCAGTTAACTCATGCAAAATCTTGAGAAAGACGTCAGAGAAAGAGTTTTAAGCACAACGAATGATCGAAATCAAATATATGAATATGAAATAGAAATAATAATATCTTGATTTTCCTCCTTTTAATTTTTTAACGCTTTAAGATGTGCTCGTTACCCAAGTTAAACCAGCAATCATGTCTAACATCGGAGAACTAAGATCAGGCCAACGGGTCTCACTCTCTCTCATGGTGAATGTGACCTTCAGAGAGTCTTGGAATACTACCGGTGTTTCCGGCGAGGACTTATGGAAGATCTCGGTATGGACAAGCCGCAGACCCGAGGGAACGAACCCCTCCAACATGGTAGACCAGGCCCTCAGCGACAGACAGAGAGTTCAGAAGTACGTCCGGGGTCATCCATTCGCGTTTCAAGGTGTCAGTTATCGGATGAGGGTGAACAGCTGCCAGGATGTCCGCTACGTCTGCATCAAGTTCGGTCAGTCGGAAAACCCGCTAACGCAACACGGCATTGGCTTCCACTTGCGAGCGCGGCCCGATGAGGGCGTGCTTGAAGTCTGTAAGCGTCTTCCAGATTGCAGAAGATAGTTTCTCTCGCAGCGCAAGTAAATCCAAAGTAGTTGGAGACAATTTTCAAATACTAATGTCGGGAATTGTATTGACGGAACTAAGAAGGCAATTGTACCCAGAATAAACCCAACCTCTAGAGACGGGTACGCTTTTCTGTTAGCATTAGCTTTGTAATATGATTATGGTGTGTTCTTCAAAAGCCGTACCTGGAAAAGACAAGAAAAATCTGGAAATTAGTGGTATTTGAACGGCTGTATAAACGTGTATGTTCATTACTTGGCAGTTATACACTCTCTTTCAAAACTTATTGAAAGATACATGAAGATCAATCAGGATGAGTGATTTGTATTCCTTAACATTTATTGTAACATTTGTACGATTCTGTGATTATTTATGTTTGTTCTCTCATGGTAACCCTTCAAAGGCTTCGGTGTACTAGTGGAACACAAAACAGCCCTGGTAATAAATTGCATTTCTATAGCGCGGAGCGCCTAAAATGCAATCCCTATGTTCTAACTATACATTATGCAAGACTGATTTGGGGTTGTACCTAATTCTCACGATCACCCCACTTTTTAATTATCTGATACGTCATTTGTGCAAAACTGTAAAATTCTATTGAGACGACTGGTGGATACGTGTTCATGAAAGTTATTTATAATTACTCATTCATGCACCAACCATTCCATGATACACAGGTGGAAGTATAGAATACCAAAGTGCTTACATCATATTCGCTCTTCATCCAAGTTAATGGTTCCAAACAAAAGAGCCTGCTCATGAGGTTTATCGCAAAACCATTCAAGCAATGGGGTGGAGCGTGGCAAATTCAGTGTTTGGTGCTTGTTTGGAAGTTTGGAACCAGCAACCTTGACGCTGTGGCCAGTATGACATCACACTTTGGCCAGTATGACATTACAATGTGGCCGGTGTGACATTACAACGTGGCCAGTTTGACATCACAACGTGGCCAGTATGACATCACAACGTGGCCAGTATGACATCACACTTTGGTACTCTATTCTTATCAAAAGGGTAATCAAAAGATATTCACAAGGCACCTCCATGAATTCGATAGTGATTATTCTAAAATATGGGACAATTATTCTTGGACTAACCCAGATATACATGTAGATAGTCACATGGGTAGAGGTCAAAGGTCATTTGTTATCACTTAAGTTTAAACTCAAAAGTCATATTGAAAGGAAAAGGGTAATTTTCCTTTAGTTTTGATAGATGTATGATTCATTAGTGGAAATTCAAATATTCAAAAAACATTCCTTTCCGTGATAATTTACAAGTATTTTCTATAGATGTATCTTGATAATGTTTTTTTCTTTCATTTTAGTTTTTGGTTCTGCATGCAATCTATGTAAATATATAGAATATAAATTAAAAAGATATCAGATAGTAATTTTCTAAAACTACTATGGAAGGTAGTTTATATTAAAAGTGATTCAATATTTTCTAATTAAAGTTGTCTATTCTTTCTTTTGTCCGACACATTTGTAGTCACAAAGCCCAAGCCTTTGTATTGGTAGACAGTTTTGGTTTAGTTGTTTGTCATTCTGTCTCTGTCTGTCTGTATGCCTCTCTCTCTTGCTCCCTCGCTCCCTCTCTCCCTCTCTCCCTCTCTCTTTCTCTCTCTCTCTCTCTCTCTCTCTCTCTCTCTCTTGCGACCTCCGTCTCTCTCTCTCTCTCTCTCTCTCTCACTTTCTCTCTCCACATTATTTCTCGGGCTTCATCTTTTCTTGTATTTTCTTTACCTATTTTCTCTTTATCAATCTGCATCTATTTTCTGTAATGTTGCATGTCACATTTTTTATGCCTTTATGACAGGAAAACATTACTCCTTATACACGTCCCTCTCCCCTCCTCACCCTCTCTCTCTCTCTCTCTCTCTCTACCTTCCTCTCCCTTTCTGTAAATATTTAAGGCTGATGTGTTGGATATATTAATGAATGAAAGCACTCTTTGACGGATGGAAAGTTGAGAACTGAGAAGCTGTTATCCTTTTTGTGTTTCTTTCAACCATTGTAACTGAAAATTAGATTTTTCAATACCTCCCCATTTTTTAAATCTTTTTATTTTGGCTTTATAGAAAATTATTGTTGGTATCTGTATCTCCTTATCACTTTGTCTCTCTCCCTCTGTCTCTGTCACTGTCTCTCTCTCTCTCCCCCTCCCTCCCTTCCTCTCTCTATCTCTGTCTGCTGCTGTTCTTTCTGAATTTTTATATATTACACCGTAGACACTGATTTTCTTCATTAAAACAACAAATATAAGTGTATTATTACTATATACTCTGCCTGCCATCAAACTCGATAAACGTTATATCACATGTAATGGGCGGTATGGATATTTGGACTCTTTTTTCAAGACATTAAAGCCTCACCGACTACTTATAGCTACATGCGCCCTCTATATAGCAAACAATGCCTAATCGGTGACCATTGGTCCCCCATGGTCCCCTTTTCTTATGTTAATTGAGCGCTGATTTGATGAGATAACCACCTGTCAGTGACCATGCAGGGAGGTCTAATCCCACCTGGCCAAACTAGAGCAGATAGGCTTTAACATTCACTCACTAATCAGTCCTGTTAGGTCTATCTTTATCTGTATCACTTGTGGAAATATATTTTTTTGCTTCTTTTGAAGTCCATTAGCATGGGAAGCGATGCGCAGACCACTTGTCTGTGGTATTTTGTTTTGGCCACTCCTCTGTGACGTCACTAATCCAATCCCACTTTTCTGGTTGAGGTTAATGTCTCGATCAGTGAGGGCAGCAGCACACTGCCACATCGGATCAGCTCATTCTTATCATGGGTACGAAAATAGCACGGAGAGGGAAGAGGGGATGTACACAATGGAAGGGATGAGAAAGAGATTGCTCTCGACACCCCCCCCCCCTTAATTGACTCGCTTTTGTGAAATGGCAAAGTACCGTTTTTTATGTTTTTTAATGATATAATGCTTACCTAGCTGACGATCTACACGATGGACACTTATTGTTTATTGCAGCAGATATAAATCACAATTATATTTCCTATAACTAATCTTATCATTCATGACTAAGGAGGACCGGAGGAGATGTGGAAGGACAAGAAGCAGAAGGGGAAGATGAAGGAGGGGGGGGGGGGGGGGGGGATGAAGGAGGAGGATGACATAAACAATAGCAAGAAAAGCAACAACAATATCAATAATCTGAAGAACAAGCCCCACCCCCCCCCCCCCAAAAAAAAAAAAAATAAATAAATAAAATAAAAAATAAATAAATAAATAAATAAAAAAAATGGAGTGACAACGATAATGGAGATGTAAACGATGAACATAAAGAAATCAAAAAGATTTTTTGGGGTTTTGGTCTTATTTACTTTACTTTCAAGTGTGTTCCAAAAGAATATCTGGCAACTCTTTGTGCAGGAATACAGAAAATATTTAATATAGGTTTGCAATTTATAATTGGGAAAAAAAAGGGGGAAACTGTGAAAAATATCGTTCTATCGCGAATCCAAATCTTCCACTTTCCAGATCAGGTGCAAGCAATGGTGTAGCAAGAAAACAATCATTGAGGGGGGGGGGGGGCATTGGGATCATGCAGGAGATGGGAATGATTGGACGAAAACAAGGCCAACCGAATACTATATGGAAGGATTTTGGAGGGGAACATCCTCTTTAACTTTTTTCGCGACCCCATTTCTTTAAGTTGTCTTTCATTTTGTATAACCGTTAGAAGGGGATCGAGGGGGCGTGTGCCCCATGTAACGCCACTGGGTCCACTCCATCCAAAAGAAATACCACAAAAAAAGTTCTTTAATGATGCGAGGGCAATGGTTCTCCGCGGCTCATTTCACGTCGGCTCCAGGTTTGTTTTCTTCTTCTTTTCTTTTCCGACTTGGGTAAATATCAGTGTACATGATCTTGTGCGCAATACATTTTGACTACTGCAGTGAACTTTTTACTTTTTTTTGGGGGGGGGGGCATTGATGTAATGTATTTCTACTTTGTAGCTATACACGAGTGGAAATCCACGCTAAAAGGAGTTAGTTAATAAGTACTGTAGTTTAGAGTGGCTTCCACTATAAAGGAAGCCCTGCTATGAATCTAAAAGAGCTTGTGGATATCCACCCCTCTCAAAGATTACCGAACCATATGCCTACAGCACAATAAAGGTGACCTGTTATTGCTCTAGA